GGTCCGTGTCCTCTTCGAGGTCATCTTTCGAACATCTACCACTGATGAAAAATTGGTGGTCAGAACAATTTTGCTTCAAAAAAGTGTTTTTGAGTTTCGGGGTCCTGATTAGATTTATTTACATAAAAAAGTGGATATCACTCTTTCTCTACTTTTACAAGGTCTTGTACTCGTCAGCAGCCTGGACAAGGCGGGCAGTGGTGGCAAGCTCCTTGGCACTGTGGCCAGCATCGGCCATGAACTCGAACTTGGCCTCGGGCCAGACCTTGTGGAGCTCCCAGGCAGAAGTGGCAGGGCAGACAACATCATAGCGACCCTACATCGATTAAAAGAAAACATGTTAGATCCACAACGCACTTGCCATCCTCTTGGAAAGTCCTCCTTCTCGATCCTCAATACTGATCCTTGTGGCTTCCTTGTCTTTTTTTTACCTGGACAATGGTAGCAGGAATGTGGCGGATCTTGTCAACGTTCTCCAGAATATGAGCATCAGTCTTGAAGAAGCCCTTGTTGAAGAAGTAGTGGCACTCAATGCGAGCGAAAGCCAGAGCCCAAATGTCCTCGGACGCCTTGGCAATCTCTACAGGATCGACATAGAGCTTGGAGGTCGAGCACTCCCAGGTCGACCAGGCCTTGGCGCAGCGGATCTTCTCCTCCTCGTCGTCGCCGGTCAAGCGCTTGTGGTAGGCAGCAATGAAGTTGTCGCGCTCGTTCTCAGGAATAGGCTTGATGTACTCATCCCAGGCATCTAAGGATTAAAAGTAAGAAAGAAGGGGACAGCCTGGTGAGTGGTCTGGTCGCTTCGATTCATATGTTTGATCCGATATATGTTCCTGAGTCTTCTTGTCCTGTGCCTGTTATCTTACCTGGGAAGATGTGGGAAGCACCGCCCTGCTCGTAGAACCAGCGAAGCTCGGACTGACGAAGCATGAAGATACCGCGGAGGATCAATGCCTTGACACGGTCAGGGTGCTCCTGAGCATAGACCAAGCTGAAGGCGATGAAGAAAAAAAAGCAAGTGAGGATTAGTATCAGAATTAAGGTTTTTTAAGCGCGGACTTGTCCCACTTTTTTTGTTTCTCACGCCATTTAAGCGGCATCTCATTTTTCATTATTTTTTTTGTGATTATCAATAGAAACCATCCTCTTTATGGTAAGGAACAGTTTTTTCGAAGGTCTGGGTCACCACAACAGCACAAAACTTTCCCACCATACTGTTCCACCCTTCTTGCCGAATGGCTGCTCTTGGGGAGCTGTAGCCCAAATCGTCCTGTTTCGCCAGCTCAATGGCTTTTTTTTTGCCATCGTCGAGTTTGGGTCTCTCCAAGAGGGGTGTCACTTGTATCCAACGAGATCCTTGTTCTCCAGATCCTGCTGTTTCCAAGATTATCGTCTCCAGGACAATTCAATAAAACTAGGTCCTCGTATCTTGTTAATCTTTACCTGAGAGTGCTTCCCCACGAACCGCCAAAGACGACCCACTTGTCGATACCAAGGTGCTCGCGCAGGCGCTCAACATCATCAACCAAGGCCCAAGTGGTGTTATCCTCAAGCGAGGCGGTGGGGGTAGACTTTCCGGCGCCGCGCTGGTCGAGCAAGATGATGCGGTAGACCTGGGGATCAAAGTAGCGACGGTCGTGGTCACTGACACCACCACCGGGGCCACCGTGGAGGTAGATCACAGGCTTGCCCTGGGGGTTGCCGGACTGCTCGTAGTGGAGGGTGTGGATGTCGGAGACCTTGAGGAAGCCGTCGTCGTAGGCCTCGATCTTGGGGTACAATGCAGCAGACTCTGGCATGATGATGTGTGTGAATGGAATAAAAGATGGAGATGAAGAAATGAAGAGAAAACTTAGCGACAAGAAAGAGCACGATAGAACAAAAAAAAACCAGGGCGGGCGGAGTTTGTTCAGTGAGTGACTCTCCTGGGAACATTTTTACGTGCTCGAGGGTCACGCCCCTTGCTGATGACGTCGATGGTTGGTAGTTTTAAAACTGCTAAATAAGAATGACCATAGTGTCCGTCCAGACCTCGGCCACCTCCTATGATCTCAAGCACTGCTATATATCCGCTCGGCGCATCTCTAGTTTTGGTGCCATTTCGCGATCACTGGTGGGTACGGGTTCGGAGTGCGTACGGGATTCGGGCTACTGCCAACGCAAAATGCGTTCGGAGCGAACAGGCCTTCATGATCCCAGTGACGCTTGATATCGCACAGTCGCTTTACTTACCGGGTCGTCGCCGTAATAATAATGCTTGTGAACAGGATTCAGGTTCAAGTCGTGCGAAAAAAACTCAACAAACGACGGTCCGCTTTTCAAAAATAAGCGTTCGCGTGGCTGACTCCCTTTGCGTCGTTCATGGCTCGCCACTGCTTCACTGCATCTCTTGCGGTCGCATCTGGATAGTGAAAGCAATCCCATCCACATAAAATATTCGAGTCCCGCCAACCGATCGATGTGTCGCTGTCCAGTCTGTTTTTGAAAGTTTGCGAGTTGGAACCACCAAAATTTTGAATTTGTACTGACAGTTTGCAATCGTTGAATGCGTCAGCTTGGATAAGGTCAATTCGATTGCAAACCCAATCCTTCCAACGGTCAGTCTTGAGTGCCGTGGAATTGGACATACGGCAAATCGAACTCGCGTACGTTTGGCCATACCCAATGAGATGTCAACTCCGATATACTCATGTGCACATTGTCGTCCACTGGAATGCCCAGGAGGGGAATACCGCCCGCAGCTTTGATTTGGTGGAAGAATTTCTGGTCGTACTGTTGTTAAGCCCCGCCCAGGTTGGCCCATTGTGCGAAAACGAGGATCATACGGGGCCAAATGAACTGCTTGTCGTCACCGAACAACTCCGGATCCTGAGACCGTGTGACTGGGTGGTCCAGGACTTTTGCCCATAACTGCAAAAAAAAAAAAATACTGTCTTCGGGAACGCCGCGTCGAACCCATCTCAGTGTAACATCGGCGAATTTTCTGGACATGATCCATTAAAAGGCCGAAACTTCGTCCCAACTGCCCGTGTCCTCGAGTTTGGACGTGTCCACCCAGATGCACGTGGCTGCATAGACTTCACATGCAAGGTTAAGTGGGCTTAGAGTCTAGTCATACTGTAGCCGCCTCATGCTGTGAGACATGGATTAGCCAGTAGCCTAATACGTGTGTTTCCTAGGTTCAGCCCCAGAGAGCGCCATTTAGATTTCCCCTACGGTATTGGTCTGGAGTCAAAGTAAAGACTGAGCTTTTAAGCTGCATAATAAGCAAATTCTGAACGTTTTCCATGTTGCAGGAAATTACTCTTTTTTGTAAAACACGTATGCGTCCAGAAACTCCAAAATTTAATTCGCCGAGAAAAAATGTGCACGATCATTCTCGGGAACCAGCAAAAAACTTATGCATCCTTCCTTTCCACGTGAAAAAAATGGGAGAAAACAAAAAAAAAAGCACGTTGGACTCAGGTGTAGATCCTGGACACTCCAGACCTATCCGTTCCACATGATTCCGGCGCAGCTCTTGCGCCGAAGCCAACCCCTCGAACTCTGCCTATCTCACCACTCGCACAAACCACCAAGCTGTAGAGAAAATAACAATACAATCATGCGCCACAGGCAACTGGTGTCTCGCGGCAATGCTCTCTGGGGTGAAGCACCTGAAGACAAGACTTGCTATCAAGCTGCCGGAACGGCCGCTGCACATAAATTAAGTTAAGAGGCTCTTCTCCCCCTCCATCAAAATTGCCAAAATCCAAAAAAAAATGCACACTTACAATGCACCGCTCCCCGCAGCCCTTCCCGACGTCGATTCGCCCCTGCATCTAGCAGCCCGGGATACTCTCCTTTTAATCCAAAACTCATGGCTCTTCGCTTTCCTGCTTTGGCCCTTTGCGTCTAGCTCCAGCCATCCCAGTCACCAGTTTGATGAACTCAACATCTGGAATTGGAGCAACATTGTTAGCCTATCTCGACAGGTTTTTTTATCCTTTTTCGCAATTGTAGTCTTTGCAGTTTGGGGTTACACTCTCTTCTTTGGTGTATTTGCCTTCATTCCTCCTCAAGGATTCCCCCTGGGTGTGATTATCGCCTCTCTCCTGATAGTCACTTCGTTCTTGCTGACAAGGCCCATTCTTTATCAAAGTGAGAATGGCAAGAAGTTTCCCCACGAAAGCTGGGTGTTCGTCAATGGTATTTGCACCGATCAAAGGTGGCTGGGACTAAATTGCGAAATGCTGGCAGAGAAGTTTGGCCGCAAGATCCTTGGGGTTCATAATCGCACGTTCGGCCCTTTGTTCGATGGATTGGAAAGCATTATTCAAAGGGATTTTGGGTACACCACAGACGACGTCCGGCAACTTTATGCTGTTACAAAGCAAGAGCTCCTTAACAAGGATAACCACAAGGTGGTGCTCATTGGTCATTCCCAGGTGCGTATTTGAGCTGTATTCGGAAGTCGGGTTATGAGTGGACCTCTGGATTGGACGTCCATTATACTTATCTTCTATTCGATGTACCATAGGGTGGCATCATCGTCAGCATGGTGGTTGACCGCCTCCTCGATACACTGGGGGAAGGTCCTTTGAAGAAGTTGGAAGTGTACACGTTTGGGTCTGCCGCGAATCATATGCATGGTGGCAAGGTCCTCAAATGCATTGAGCACTTTGCCAATAACTATGACTTAGTCACAAGGACGGGTGTCATGGCGTACCACCAGACAGCAATGCCGGGAAACAAGTATGATGGCAAGCTATACATCGACAGGATAACAAAAGGACATGCGTTGAATATGAATTACCTCAAGACCATGTTCGCAGCTGGAAGACCAGTGGCCGATTTCGCAGGAGGACCAGCGACCGGGTCTAACATGGCTGGTTATCTTGGTGGGCGCGCTGGTGCCGCACATGCTGCTTGAAATACGCGATGGTGTTTTTGCAATAAATTTCAGC